TATGACTAGTTTAACTCTCTCTCTGTGTTATATTTTTTTCTGCTTCTCCTTTTTGTTTGGGGGATGATGGTGTTCTCTTGATGAAATCTTCTTTTGTAATGACTTATTGAAGTTGTGATTTCTTGGATGGTCAATGAGCTAAAAAAAAATTTGGATTGCCAATTGATTTCAAGCACTTCCTATTGTATGGCTCAAGATGTTGAAAGAGCTGGATGTTGATGTATTACTTTGCTAGCAGTTATTTTTAGCTAACCAAAGCTTTTGTATGTTTTTTATTGAATGTTTATCGAAGTAGCAAAAGGGGGTTGTTGGCACCAAGTGATATTCCACTATCAAAAACCAGGACTTATGAGTTTAAATTTAATAAGTAGCTACGTTGGTCATGATTCATTAAAAAAAAATTTTTTGCCAAACAATTTGATACTTATAAGAACCTGGAAAATGTACAACAGACACACGAGAAGCCAAATTGAATCTATTTACAGCTAAATTTTCTAATAAAACCCAGTAATTTGCTCAGAGAATGGGATTAAGAATTGTTCACAACAACATTGGAGAGGAACGTTTTCCCACCGAACAGTTAGGTAAGAATCAATTATCGCTTATTAGAGAGGAAACTTTCCTAGCCAAAAATGTTTTACTGGTACGCGGGGGATTGCAGATTTGTCAAAAGACTACTTGCTAATTCTATACTACTGGTGAGGATGTGCTATTTTCCTAGCAAAACACCTTGACTATTTGTAAGGAACTATTGGTTTTTGTGGGGAGTTTTTGACTTTAATGGAGAGGAAAGTTTTTCTCGCCATAGTATTCGAGCTATTAGCGAGGAGGTCAACCCTGGCTATTGATCTGTTTCATTAGCAAGAAAGGATAGCAAGAAACTTGGCGAGGAAGCATTTTTCTCGCTGAAATTATTTGGCGAGGAAGTCAGAACTTTTGGTGTGGACTTTTGTTCCTCGCCAGATCCCTTTTTTGTTGTAGTGCGTATTAGATCCCCTAATGCGAATATCCAAGTTGGTCGGAACATTCAGATACCTAATCTAGTTCCTATTTTATAATTTTTTAAAATAAAATGTTAACTCCACAGATAATATTAAGTTTCAAGGAATTAGTATTTCAAAAATAACATATAGGTGAAATATTGTAGTAGCATATAAGTTTTAGTCCAAATTATAAGTGATATAGTGCACAGACTTTTATTATTCTTTGCAGACTGATAGTTAAATGATATTTCAAAATTATTACACCACGTTTCAGAAAAGTTACACCGTTTAGTTGACATAATATACCAATGGTTTTACCATCCTAATGTGACAAATTTCAATTAGAGCATTTGAAATGGAATTACGATAGTTAAAATATGCAATAGCATGACTAACAAGCTAGATGATTCGACAGTTCTAGTACAAACAAACAAGTTATACCAAACCATCTAGCATTTTCAGCTTACAATATAACTATATTGAAACATGATGTGATACTTCTCCTAAGCCTGATATCTAGTGTATCGCTTCTCTCAGGTGATCTATAATTGTACCATATTTGAATAGAGGACATTTTAAATCAAATTTGTTAAGAAGTTAGAATGTGTACATAACTTACATATTGAATTTACAGTCTATTTAAAGGTGAATGTACTATAGATAGTTATAATTTGATTAGTGCTTTGCAATCGAAATATAGGCAACGTGAATTATTGATCCAATGCTTGTGGTACCCAAGCATCAAATTTAAATGCACACTTTAAAATCTATCATGTTGGGATGGTCTAATCATATTTTAGAAATGGGGTGCAACATGTTGTAATTACGGTGTAACTATGTTAAAATATGGTGTAATGCATATTCTAACTTTGATATCCCGTGTGTCTCAAATCATCTATGTTCTTGTTACATTTTGATGGATGACATTTTAAACCAAATCTATGCAATCCAAATCAGAATGGGAACACAATTTACAGTTTATACTTATAGCCGCTTTAAATATGTATGTGCTATAGATATATGAACTACAACTCGATTGATGATTTGCAATCCGAATATAGTCAATGTCAATTATCAGTCCAATGCTTGTGGTTCCTTCACACCTAATTCGAATGCATTAATTAAAATTTGTCATGTTGGGATCGTCTATTTGTGCTGAAAAAAAAGTGTAACATGTCAAGATTATGGTGTAACTATACTAAAATGTGGTGCAGATTTTCTCCCAAATAATGTGTATCGCTTCTTCCAAGTCATCTATAATTTTGCCATATTTCGATGGATGACATTTTAAGCTAAATTTATGAATAAATTAGAATGTTCATTTTATACATATTGTATTGATAGTCTATTTAATTGTGAATATGCTATTGATATGTATGTATAAGTTATAATTTGACTGGTGATTTACAATCAAAATATAGGCGGCATGAATTATCAATACCATACTTATGCTATCCTCGCACCGAATTGAATGCATCATTTGAAATTTGTCACGTTGGAATGGTCTATTCATGCTTAAAAAATGGGTTATAATATGTCGAGGTTGGAATGTAACTATGTTGAAATATGGTGTAATGCTTCTCCCAAGTCATCCTTGTTCTTGTCATATTTCAACGAATGATGATTCAAACAAAGTCTATGCAATTTAAATCAAAATGTGTATATAATTTATGGTTTGAACTTGTAGTCTCTATAAATGTGCATATGTTATAAATGGATAAGTTATAATTCACCTCATCATTTGCAACTCAACTATGGTTAATATGAATTATCATTCCAATGGTTGTAATGCTTTCGCACCAAATTTCAATGCACCAATTGAAATTTTATCACGTTGGGATAGTCTTTTAATGCTTAAAAAGTTGGGTGAACATGGCGAGGTTATAGTATAACCATGCTAAAATGTGGTATAATGCTTCTCCTAAGTTTGATATATATCAACTTCTCCCAAGTCACCAATAATTTTGCCATATTTCAACAACTGACATTTTAAACTAAGTTTATGAAGAAATATTTAAATTGTAGGAAATATTTAAACTTCCCTTTCTAGTAGGGACCCTTTCTCTCTCTAAAAAGAGAGCATCTCTTCCCTGGGTGGAAGCTTTTCATTGTTCATAAAGGTTCAAACTTTTTCACTTTTAGGTAATCTCCAAGTACTAATCCAGCAAGCGGTCATGAATTATTGTCGGATTCTAGTATTAGTAAGTGGGAGCTGACGAGTCACTGTGCTCACAAAGTTTCTTTAGCTCAGAGGTTGTGGTCCAGATCTGTCAAACCATACTCAACAATCATACACCAAACCAAGCATGAAGGAGCAGCATTCATGGAGTGGCTACGACAGCAGATAGGTAAGCTTATTGCCATAGTCTCTTCTTGCTTTGTCTGGTAGTTTAGGTGCATTAGCAGTAGGCGCATTGTACTCTGTTTTTCCTTTTTCTGTTGCCTACCAGATAGACATTTACTTAGAGAAAAACATATTTTCTTCGATTTTCCTCTGGAAATTACCGGGTTTTCATTGAGACTATTGGTGAGAGAGTGAGAGGTATACCAGCAGTACATTGTGTTAAGTCTCATGGCTGAGGATATTACTGACATTTTGAGAAGCTTTACATTTTCGAGCAAGGAGTTACAAATAACAGAGGTGGGGAGAGAGGAGCTATCTTCAGGTATAACAGAATGTCAAAGTAGTTTGATAGGGAAGATTGTGGGTGAGAAAGTAGCCAATTATACGGGGGTCAAGAATTTCGTTACTATAGCTTGGGGGTACCCTAAAGATCTGACAGTGTCGGAACTCGGTCCAAATCTGTTCCAGTTTTTTATGCCTAAGGAAAATGATCGGGAACGTATTGCTAAGGGAGGCCCTTGGATATTGGATAATCAAATCATGGTTGTTAACAGGTGGTATGAGGGGATTGAGGAGGATGACAAAGCTTTTAACTTGGCACCCCTTTGGGTGCAAGTATGGAACCTCCCTGTTCACTGGATTTCAAAGGATGTTGGCAAGAAGATTGGATCTGTGTTCAATCAGGTTAGGGATGTCATTATACCACAAACAGGGGGAAAAGAAGGAAGGCATATTAAGATAGCGGCACTGGTGGACATTGACCAACCTCTTCTGCGAAGGACAACAATTAAAGTGGCAGGAGGAGTTAAATGGGTGAATTTCAAGTACGAGTGTTGCCCAGATTTTTGTTACAGCTGTGGAAGAATCGGACACAGTGAGAGATCATGTGGATTGTTATTGGGTGGGAGCGAAAGGAAAAAGGATAACCAATATGGTATTTGGATGAGGGCAGGGAATGCAAATGAAAAACTGTATACGCAGAACAATCAAACAGGAGTTAGATATAACCCCCAACAACATCACTGGAGGTACCAGGATGGGAATTGGGTAGATAAGGAGAGGGGGGTCAACATGGGTAGTGATGATTCTAGAGGATTAGATAAGGTACCTGCGAGTGTAACTCAGCAACAGGACCAACAAATTAACCCTGCAGAGCCTTTGCCTGAAGCACGTATAGATATTACACCCTCCTCAATCTTGGAGGGAGTTGATGAAGCTAGCACTTCTAAAATTTCTTACGAAGGGGGAATGAATCAGCTTGTAGAAGTGAAGGTTGGGATGGAACAGGATATAGGGTGTATCCAGAAGGAGAAGGGAATCCAAAAGGTTTCGCAACCTGGACTCGAGGAGGGAAACAATGAGGTAACACTCATGCAAGTCGATGTGGGCAGTACAGATAGGAAGCAAGTGGTAGTTCACAAGCAGACCAAAAGGATTCAAAGGTCTCTGAGGTCACCCATAAAAAGGAGACAGACGCTTAAAGGAATAAGTATCAACTTGGGGGTATTGGCAGATCAAGGGAAAAGGAAAAGCAATGAATTGGATGAGACTATGGAGAATGTTGAGCCTGATATTCAGATTTTGAAAAGATCTAAGAGGGATGTTTCTGGGGGTTTAGAGCAGAATGCTTTTGATGGCGAAGGGTCCATGCCTGTTTGGGCCCCAGAGGGTAAATGAGAGTTCAGGTGTGGAATTGTCAAGGAGTGGGGAGCCCCTTGACAATTCCCCAGGTGAGGGAGGTGAATAACCTCTTCTCTCCAAGCATGGTGTTTTTAAGTGAGACTAAAAATAGGACAATTTACATGGAAAAGGTGAAAAACATTTTAAAATTTGATGAGATGGTTGTTGTTGAAGCAATGAATAAGGCAGGCGGGCTCGCCCTACTGTGGAAAGAGGAAGTTAAGGTTCTTCAGGTTTTGAAAACTGCATTCACCATAGAGGCGCATGTGGTGGATTTGGAAAATAATTCTGATTGGTGGTTTGTTGGCATTTATGCGAGTTGCGACAATCACATTAGGAAACAACAGTGGAAAGTCATTGAAAGAAGGAAATCTCTATGGGGAGAAAGATGGATCTTAGCTGGTGACTTTAATGATATCATTTCCAACGAAGAGAAATGGGGTGGTATTTGCAGGCAGGAAACAAGTTTTCAGGATTTCAAGCAATTCATTAATGGAAATCAACTTATGGATATTGGATTCACTGGACATCCATGGACTTGGTGTAACAATTACGAGGATACGGGGGAGATCAAACAGCGATTAGATAGGGGTCTTTGTAGTCTCTCTTGGTCACAGGTTTATGAGAACGTAGTGTGCAGACATATAGATTCTTATGCATCTGATCACAGCATTTTGATCATAGACACTAAGCCGAACTCTAGTCGGCGGCGTAAAAGATTTTACTTTGACAAGAGGTGGCTACAAAGAGCAGACATTGGGGATGTGATCAGGGAGGCATGGCAGTAGGAGACTCAAGGATCTAGAATGTATCAAGTTACTATCAAGATAAAAAAACTGCCGTCTAGCTCTCAGTAAATGGAAGAACAGGTTCCAAACAAACTCTAGGCAGAAGATAGAGAATATTCAATTTCAATTGAGTGAGCTGAAAAAGTCAACAGGGAGCACCAGAAATGGTTTTAATGGATCTCTAAAGAGACAATTGAAGGACACATACCAAGAGGAAGAACAATACTGGCAGCAGAAATCAAGGATCCAATGGCTCAGGGAGGGAGATAAAAATACAAAATATTTCCATGCCTTGGTTCAAGGTCGGCGAAGGCGAAATAGGCTAAACAAATTACAGCGAGACAATGGTACATGGACTGAAGGTGAGGAGGAGTTGTGCAAAGAAATGGAGGACTATTACCGGAATCTTCTGAATGGGAATGAGGGAGGGGACTTAACTGAAGTACTGGATGGTATACCACACTCTATCATGGATGAAATGAATGAAAACTTGCTTAAACCAGTCTTGGAAGATGAAATTACATCTGTTGTTTTCTCTATGAACCCGGACAAAGCTCCTGGGATTGATGGTATGTCACCTTTATTCTTTCAAAAATTCTGGACTACCATCAAACAAGATGTGGTAAATGCCATCCAAACTTTTTTCCATACTGGTTACCTTTTAAAGAGTGTTAATCACACAGTGATTACTCTTATTCCCAAAGTGCTAAACCCTACATCCTTGAAGCAGTTTAGACCCATTAGTCTCTGTACTACCATGTACAAGATCATAGCTAAAATCTTAGCCAATAGGATTAAAAGTGTCTTGCATTGTTGCATTTGCAAAAATCAATCTGCTTTCATTTCTGGTAGGCAAATTCTTGACAACATTTATGGTTTCTCATGAATATTTGCATTATCTAAAAAACATGCGACATGGCAAGGAGGGGTTTATGGCAGTTAAGCTTGACATGTCTAAAGCCTACGACCGTGTGGAGTGGAGCTTTTTGGAAGCAATGATGCATAAGATGGGATTTCACAATACATGGATAAATTGGATAATGCAGTGCCTAAGTTCTGTTTCCTTCTCTTTTCATATTAATGGGGAGGTAAAAGGGTATGTCATCCCCAAGAGAGGAATTAGACAAGGGGACCCTCTATCCCCTTATCTATTTCTAATTTGTTCAGAGGGCTTATCCAATCTGCTTAGGAAGGCTAAGGCTAATAGGATGTTGTCAGGGATGAATATAAGCAGAATGGGACCTAATATAACTCACCTTTTCTTCGCGGATGATTCCTTAATTTTTTGCAAAGCAAATCAGGATCAAGCAAAGGAGTTAATGAGAGTGCTGGATGTCTATGGCTTGGCGTCTGGTCAAGTGATTAACCTGGAAAAGTCCTCCGTTCTATTCAGCAAGAACGTGCAACCAGGTTTGATGCTCCTGATTTGCCGAACCATGGGGAATATGCAAAGAGTCTGTCAAGGCAAGTATCTCGGATTACCAATGGTAGTTTCGAGAACAAAACAACAGCTTTTTGGTTTTGTTAAGTCGAACATACAACAGAGAGTGCTCCAGTGGAAGAACAAGTTTCTAAGTATGGCAAGCAAGGAAATATTACTTAAATCAGTGGCTCAAGGTATGCCTACTTATACTATGTCATGCTTCAAGGTGCCATCTAGATTGTGCAAGGAAATCAGTTCACTCATGTCAAACTTTTGGTGGGGAGACATCAATGGAAATAATAAAATTCATTGGTGTTCCTGGAGAAAGATCACTCAGGAGAAGGACAAGGGGGATTTAGGATTCAAGGATTTGGAGGCTTTTAACATTGCACTACTGGGTAAACAGGTATGGCGTTTGATTTCTCAACCCAACCTGTTAGTTAGCCAAGTAATGCGGGCTAAGTACTACTCCAGAACTTCAATATTCAGGTGTAAAGTCCCCAATAATGCCTCATCGTTATGGAGAAGTCTGTTGAGCGCGAGACACGTGGTGGAACAAGGCACTAGAAGACGGATTGGTAATGGAAAGAATACACATATCTGGGAAGATAGCTGGCTTCCGGACACAACAAATGGGAGAGTAACTACTTGCAGAGCTACGGATGGTGGACTGCAGAAAGTAGCAAATTTGATTTGCCAAAAAAGATGGAACCGCAATTTGGTTTTCCAAACTTTTAACACCAAAGATGCGGACAGAATTTTGAGTATCCCAATCAGTCTAGCTGGCAGGGAAGATTCTCATTTTTGGTTACATGGTGTGGATGGGAATTACTCCGTCAATTCAGGGTATAAGGTGTTGATGGCTAGCAATGAAACCAAGCAGAAAACAAATCAGAATGATAGCATTACTAGTTGGGAGCATCAGTCTAAGAAGATTTGGAAGCAATTGTGGAGCTTAAAGATTAAGCATAAACAGAAAATATTTCTCTGGAAATGTCTAAACAATGCTTTACCGGTCAGAGATATCATCTATGGTAGAATCAAAGCTGGAGACCCTATTTGTATGCGATGTGGAGAGGAAAGGGAGACGATTGAACATACATTTCTGAATTGTGTGGATGCAAAAATGACATGGAAGTTAGCCCCAATCCAATGGGAAGGCATATTGGAACAACATGGCTGTTTTAGAAAATGGTGGACATCCATCATTGATGCTAGACATAGAACACAAGGTTGGCAACATATTGCTCTATCGGTCCATATACTCTGGCAAATATGGAAAGGGAGGAATGGGGCAGAATTCAATGGCAAGAAATACAGGCCATGGACGGCTATTCAGAAGGCATTAAAGGAATGGTTAGAATTGGGAGAAGTAGATAGACTGGAAACTAGGATGAGTACGACCGAAACAGAAGCTCTACATCTGCAATATCCACAGCTTTGTTCACAACATGGTGTCCTGCAATTCAGCATTGCAATTACAAGGAACAAGCACGAACCATGGGTTGGCATTGGAATCTGTCTAATAGGAGGAGCTCAGGGAACACACACAGGCTGGGCAATGCGTGAAACCAGTTCAGGATCTTTTTTACTGGATGAAGCATTAGCTCTAAAATTTGCAATGTGTAAAGTTGCTGGAATGCAACACAGGGTGGTCCAATTCCAAGTTCAGAATCAGCAGCTCCTCAACCTTATTCAATGCAAACAAGCACGGGATATCAGATTAGCAACTGTGGTGGAGGATATTGTTCAACTTAGACTTCTGTTTCACATGTGCTCCTTTTGTCTAGTTCAAAATGATAACTATCATCTAAGCTCCAAGCTTAGTTCTTATGCTTTAGGCATTACTTTTGATGAGGAACTTTTGTTTCCTTAGTGGTTAAATGACCGCTTGTATAGTTTCATCGAGCCTTTGCTCGTACTTGTACATCTTTTGAAAAGGAATACAACCATATATCGTTTCGGAAAAAAATGAAGAAATTAGAATGCGTACACAATTTACATATTGAACTTATAGTCTATTTAAATGTGTATGTACCATACACATATAAGTTATAATTCAACAGGTGGTTTGCAATTGAAATAGGAGCAACATGAATTATCCATTTGATGCTTATGGTGTCTCCGCACCGGATTCGAATGCGTCAAATAAAATATATTACACTGGGATGGTCTATTCATGCTTAAAAACTATGGTGTAACATGTCGAGATTAGGTTATAACTATGCTAAAATGTAGGGTTAATTCCACTTTGTCCCCCCCAAACTTTGGATGATTACCCACTTCAGTTCCTAAACTTCAAAATGGGACACTTAAGTCTCTAAACTTATAAAATGGGGCACTTAATCCCTAAACCCTTATAAAATGGGACACTTCGACCACTAACGGCATTCAGGATTTATTAACAATTTTTCTTAAGTGGGAGGTATTTATAAGTTTAGGGACTTAAGTGTCCCATTTTGAAGTTTAGGGATTGAAGTGGATAATCGTCCAAAGTTTGGGAGGACAAAGTGGTATTAACCCTAAAATGTAATGTAACGCGTCTACCAAATTCAATATCATGCATGTATACTATACTAAATTGTAGTGCAAAGCCTCTCACTCCATATTGGTAAAAAAAGGTCTATTCAGTGAGTTTAGATTATTTCAACCTTATTTTACACATACCACACACATAATATAATCTCAAAGCACCAAATATTTACACAAAAATTATGTTATTATGCCTTCAACAACACTCACTCAGGTACCAAGATTTTATTTGTCAATAGAAAAGATAAAACAACTAAAATAAAATTCTAGAAATTGAATTGAATTGAATTATTGGAAAATTAGGATTAACACTAACCATCTTCTTATGGGAAATCATCACCGATTGACAATTCTTTTACCAATTGGGGAAATAAATGTTCTTTTTATATCCAATTGTGATTAAAATAAATGAAAGCAAAAAACCCCACATATGCATGATGATTGTAAGAACCCAAGAGTATACCTAAAACTTAGATGATGTGAAATTTGTTTCTTAAATTCTTTATTCGACAACCAAGCTTTAGTGGATCTCTTTGGACAGTGAAACAACACAATTTCAAAAAGTTGAGACTTTCTTCTGCCTTGTTAGTTTTTTTTTTTTTTTTTTGTTTAGAGTTCTTTTGATATTTTTCTAAATTTTTCAAGGAATGGGAAGAATACAAGAGAAAATGTCCTTTTCTTTCGTTTCCAGATAAGGCGACGGTTAACGACATTGTGATTAATTTACCATTTTTTCACTTTTTTCTATGATCCTTCGACAATGCCGTTCGACTAAACCCACTAAAATGAACTTGGTGGCTTAATCATCACCGTTCGTCTTCCAACTTTTACTTTGGGTCGTGATATTTTCTGAAATGGAAAGTACGCCAAATTGTGACGCCTCGGACGCTATAATAGAGCCAGAGTTTACGATAAATTTCTTCTTCCAAAATCTCACAAAAAGACTTCATCAGGTTGGTCACTATAACAAGGAAAGCCTTGGATAAGCAGTAATTATGCGCCATACTTTATATCCGGGGCATAACACCACCATGCCTCATAGTTATTCCACAAGCAAAAAACATTGCTAAACTAATACAAAAGTCCACCAACTATCAAACTGAACTTCATTTTTTTTATATATAAAATTGAACTTCAATTAAATTAATAGTTCTTCCTCACAACCCAATAGAAATATAATATATATATATATATAAGCTAGTATATCATTGGACTAGCCATGCCCAAGTTGCAATAATTAATCAAAACAAAATAGAATCTGCATGTCAACTATATTGATTCGAAGTTAATATCATGATCTATATACATATAACTAGAGGTGTCAAAATGGGTGATTTGGATGGGTTTAGGTTGGGTAAAATGGGTTGTGGGTATAAGTAAGTCAACCCATTTATACCCATTTAATTAGATAGGTATAAATGGGTAAGTCAAAAAATGAATTGGGTAACTCAATTACCCATTTATAACCCATTTATTTTAACTTTTTGTAAATTCATTTAAATTCATTTTTGCAAACTAAGTTATCAATTTATACCATCCTTTGCACCCATCATTAATTTTAAATATTTACTTATAATGCTCAATAAGCCTAATTTTCAATTTTTTTCCCATCCATACTCTATGTCGCAAAATTACATACTATTTCATAATTAAACAATAAGAATATAAAAATTTGAACTAAGTACTATAAAAGTTAACATAAAAATTTAATTCAAAAATTTTAAACCCCTAGCATTTTTTCATGTGTAAATTTAAAATTTTATTTTGGAAAAGTAAGAAAAGAAGCTAAAACTTGTCATAAATTGGTAATGTTGAAAAATGAGCAAGTTAATAAACTAAAAGAAAATAAAATGATAAGATAAAACCAACAAATAATAATAATAATGAAACAAAAGTAGTTAATATCATGACAAAATGAAAATTTTTTTTAA